TGAAATCTCGAAAAATTTCTAAAAATCTTACAATATTAATTTAAATAAAATATTTTTTTTTATATGGTTCGACTCGTCTTTTTGTAAAGTTAAGTTATCCAAAAAAGGGTTTATTATTCGCTCTAACCAACTAGTTATTCAGTTTTAAATAAAAAAACTTCCTTAATTAACCATTTCTACGATAATTCGAGGCCGTGGCGCAGTGGTTAGAGCGCTTGCTTTATAAGCCTCTTGCTTCTGATCCAGGTTTGAAACGAGCTTTGGACATATTTTCGCTTCACGGTAAGGAAGGAGGCGTGAACTTCTGCAGTGCTCTGTGACAAGACCGTTAGGTCTGCTTGGGACACCTAAATAACAGAACAAAAAAACAATAAAAAAAAAAAACAATAAAAAAAAACAATAAAAAAAAACATCAAATATTTTACTTTACAATACGGGGCTAGTTGCAAAAGGGTTAAGTTCCAACCGTGCCATTTAAAGGATGTTTTGTAAGTTTTCAAAATATTTTTACATTATACAACTATAAGGATAAGAGGTCTGCTCAAAAAAAAAATCGACTATTTTATAGCCTGCTGCTGCAAAGGAAAGCCGCTACATTGACTGAGTATTAGATATTAGGGTTAGAGCAGAAATATTTTCTTTTATTACTCTTTGTTTTTTATTTCTTTTTCCGAAATCTTAATCTCGTTTTAGCTATTTTGAGTGAATTTTTCTTACCAAATTTGACAAATATTTCCTTTACACTGTTTTCCTTTTTCGAGATAAATCTCTTATTTCGAGACTGTTATTCAAATCAGAGATTCGAGATAAATCATTTTTGCAATATTGAGGTGTAATCATGCTACTCTATTTTTTTTTTACCGGTAAGTTCTTTTTGTTAAAAACTTAGGATATACGAACCATGTGATCATGATGCCTATGTGGTAAGTTGAATCGAATTGATACGCGTAAGTTGAATCGCAGTATAACTGCAGGTTTGACGGATTTTATGTACTTTTCTAAAATAATAGATGTTTTTATTATAACAATTGATAAGGTTGTTTACAAAAATTGTTTATAATGTAATTCAATTTTAAATTCAGTAAGCATGTCAGATCTATATGAAGTTTTATATAATAAATGTAACTCAAAAAAACTTCTGAGTCTACAGATACCCAACGGGCATTTGTTTTTAAAAGTTACGTTCTAAATGTCTTTTAAATGTCTTTTAAACGTCTTTTAAACATTCTTACGTAAAGAACGTTAAAAAGACGTTTAAAAAACGTTTAAAAGACATTTAGAATGTAACTTTGAATAACAAATGCCCGTAGGGTATTTTCTGTATTTTTTTTTTTTTTTTACATGTTTATTTTAGAACTACAAAGTATTTACAAGTAACCAATCACAGATTGGCGGTAAAGATATACAAACATAAATATCATAAACATAAAGTTCTAAATATACGAAGTAAACAAAATTATAGTTGCATACAACTCCGCCACACTATTAAAATAAACACCAATTACAACAATGTAGTAACGTGTACGTAAAAATAATCCGATAAATATATCTCTATATTATTCCAGTTAAAATAAAAAAATACAATAAATAAAAATAAATTAGCTGAATTTTTAGAGAAGTGTTTAGACGTTTGACTATAAATTTATTTACCACATTTCAAACTAATGTTTGTGTATAAATATGATAAAAACGAATTTTGTGTAAGATTGATAAAAAGAATTGCTTGTTAACAGTTGTAGGAAGCTCGCAGAAGATGTAAGACGGTCTTGTCATTGAGTACCTTTTTCTGGACGTGTAATACACACAAAAATCAGTTACATACGTGGTATATATGTATGTTGTACATGTATACCTTGTTATTAATATTATTATTTTTTATTATCGATTTGTATTAAAAGTTAAGCTACATTTTAAAAACTTTTTTTTATTAATATTTTTAAAAAATTCCTTATAATTGTTTAATTTGACAATTGTAGATTTTAGCTTTATTTTCAGAGAGTGTTCGTTGTTTAGATTTAATAGTGATTCGTTTCTGGTAACTAATTTGTTAAATAAATAGGGACCACGATATGCAATTAAGAATTTTGAGAGTCTTGTTAATTCAAGCGGTATCTTAAAGTTGCCTGTTGCTCTTGTATTGTATTTATTTATATTGTTTTTAAAAAAGTGTGCTGTTTTTGTGTTTTGGAACCAGATTTAGTTTATAATTAAACATGAAAAGTATATTTTGAAAAATATTTATTTCAAATATATTTAGTGCGTTTATTTGTTCCAATAAGGGTTTAGCATAAGCAAATTTATTTTTGTTGTATATTAGTCTTGAAGCGTGTTTTTGACGTAGGTAAAGTGGTTCTAATTTAGATTTGTGGGTATTGCCCCATTTTATATTGGCATACATCAGGTAGCTATGTATGAAAGAAAAGTAGACAAGTTTTACACTTTTTTTGTGACAAAAATGGTCTTGCTTTGTAAAGTAAACCAATGTTCTTTGATATTTTTGTGTTAATGTAGTTTATGTGGGGTTTCCAGGAGATATGTTCGTCAATTAGAACTCCTGAAAACTTTGTATTCAGAACTCTTTTCATGGTTATATTTTCTATATTAAGTGTTGGTAGGTTCAGGATTTTTTTTTTTAATTTGTTGATTAGAGTGAAATAGTATGTTCTTAGTTTTTTCTATATTGAGTGACAGTTTATTGGATTTAAACCATATATTATTTTATTTAGTTCAGCATTTGTTTTTTCAAAAAGGTCTTCAATTGTCTTTGCTGAGTAAAATAAGTTTATGTCGTCGGCAAACATTATAGTTTAAAGATATTAGAGGCATTTGGAAGATTGTTTATATAAATAAGAAACAAAAAAGGAGCAAGAATGGAACCTTGGGGTACACCACATTTTGTTTTCAGTACACTTGAGTTGCTTTTTTTTATCTATAATAACACACTGTTGTCTTTTACTTAGGTAGTTTCTAAACCAATTTAAAGCTTGATTTTTTACGCCATAGTTTTTCATTTTTTTTCAGTAAAATCTCGTGATTTATTTTACCTTTTCTTTATTAGAACACAAAATAATATAAATTACAAAGTAACTAATAGTTTTTTAAGAACTCTGCAAGATTTAAACTTTCAAAATATTGTGCTGCAGCTTAACACTTTCATTGTTGCAACTTGCCCTAAAGAAAGGTGTTGCAACAATTTTTTTTATTTTAACTTCATCAATGCGAGATAACTTGTTTCTCCACACAGTGACCTTGTTCGTGAAATTTTGTGTTTCAGAGTCAAAGAATTTAGAAAGAATTGTAACCACAATAAAGTAGCCTTTCCGACTGTAGTGGTCCTCCAGGCCTTAGGAAGGTGAATGACATTTAAAAGTTTATATTATACTACCAAAGTAGCAAACAATATTAGGGTAATATTGGCACGATATTGGGTATCTTGGCTAATCTTGGCCAAGATGTCCGATATTGCGCCAATATTGTCAAGCAATATTACGCCAATATTGGTAAAATTTATCTATCAACACCTGTGTCAGAATGATGTCATCTGCACAGCCATTATATTTATTATTGTAATTACAGACCATTAAGTTGTTAATCTGAGTTGTAATAGCATGCGTGTTAATATGGCCACTTCTTAATATTAATATATGATTATATATTTAGTTAGTATTTATTCCTCCAATATGACTAACTTCAACTTAACAACATACGATCATGCTTATAAATTGAAAAAAATATTTTATAAGACAGATGTCCAGAAAAAACTTTTCTAATATGGAATTCGCAAATTTGTAGAATAGTCTACCATCTGAAATAGTGTTCAACATCTGTCACGATATTAAAAAAACATCTAGATGCATCTTGGGTTCATCAAATGTACAACTGCATATAAACAATTAGACCAACACAATTAGATACAATAGAACAAAAGGTTGATAGGCTTTTTTATATACCTAATTATTCTATTTGTAAAATTATAACCTTAGAAAATAATAATAGTAACAACATTAATAATAATAACAATATGTTATATCAAAACTCTTATAATTAAACACCGAATAATTAAAATTAATTAAACACTGAATAAGTTTTATGTTTATTTTTTTAGTGTTGTATATTAAAAACACTTTTCTTCAGTGTTCCATAACTAAGAAAAATATTCTATGCCTGGCTAACTCATTCAATTGAGCATGAGATCTTAATCTCATGCTAATTTGAATCTTGTAATATTGGGGTAAGTATTTACTTAGAGCCTCAAGTTGTTTATCTTCCTTAATGTCATTTTTAAATAAAAAAATATTATCATAGAAACCTTTCCAAACCACGCAAACTTTAAAATTAACTTTTTTTTACTAACCAATAACTAACTCTACTTGCAATAAAAAGCAATTACATTAAACATTAAGAAATGAAACTCAATAATTTTTAGACTAACTGAAGGTGGTAATAAAGTTTACAAATTTGCTCTGGTTGAATTTTTCAATTAAAAAACAATATGTGTGCCATGAATGTAATCTGTTTTTTCATGGCGTATCAATGAAAGTTTGGTGTATTGGCCAAATCACTTGCAAGCATCTTGCCTTTAGGCTGCCATACGTAAAGTCACACTTTTAAAAGTAACTGAAAGCAGCTGAAAAAAAGAATTTTTTGGTAATTGTCTTATTTACAATATTGTTTTTGTTTTATTTACAGTATTGTCTTTGTTTTTTATCTAAACAGCTATGTTTGACTCAAATATAGTAAATGTTGATTGTTTAGTATGGTTTCATCTCTTCTTTATACTTTTTTTTGACAGTTATGAGACTGCCTTAAAACGGAATAATCTGTGCCTCCAGCTTAAAAAGATGTAGGTTACAAAAAAAGTGACACTGATGAGATTGTCTCTCAGTTTCTCAAAGATTGAATAAATCTTTAGTGTTTTAGGGTTAAGTGATTCCATCAGAGCTTTTCTTGACTATCTCTTTCGATTTATTGAATTTATTTGCCGGTTTTAAAAGAAAAAAGATCTTCTAAACCTAGAAGAAAAATTATGACAGACACCTTATGAATCAATAGTATATATCAGTGAATTGATATTAGTTAATAGTTTTTGGAAACAGTACCATGTACTATTAAAGTTTCTAATTTTTAAAATGTATGATACATTTATATGAAACATACAAACAAATGATACAATATGATACGTGATTGATTATGATTATGTTGTATATCAGAATATTTTATATAAATGCTTATTACATTTTATTGTGATTTTTATCTTTTATGCCCAGTTAGCAATGTATTTTGTGTAGCAATGACTATTAATCTCAGATATCTATGACATTTATAGGGTGTATTCACCGCTGCAGATGTCATGATCTATTTATAACCAATTGCTTTTACTCTTCCATAATGTCATATTTTAATAAGAATCACATTATGGAAAACCGTCTAATACATACACATGAGGAACCATTATACTTTTAGTTCAACCAATTATATTACATTTGTTTTCTTATTTTAGATGAACTTTCTTACTTCGGTTGGAGGAGATGAGAAACAACTTACAGCGGCAATCTTGCTAATGGCCAAAGAAGTATGTTTTTCATACTCAGTGTATGGAATGAAACAAAAACGTCCTGCAAGGTCGTTATAGGTAAAGCACAATATTTGTATTCTACATCCCATTTCCTTTTAATAAATAAATATTTTAATAAAAACTAATTATTTTACAATATTTACACGTGAAAAGTTATATATTTCAAAATTATATTGTGATGATATTTAAAAAACATTTTGTAGAGTTGCGTTTAGTCATTTATCGTTGTATTCGTTCATTTCGAAATCACTACTGACAAAAGTATTAAAGAAAAAATTCGCAGCGTTCTGGCGACGGCTATTAATAGAGATTACGGAAGAAAAATAGAACCGTAACTGAGCAACGCCCAATATTGAGCAATGAAATAAGTATCGCCAATATAATGAAAGTCGATGTCTACTATCTCATAGTGAGAGAATAATACAGTAGTTTATATATATATAATAACATTGATTTTACTTTGTTGTATTTTGGTTTTGGAAAACTCTATACCTCTTTTTTTCATTTGTATCTGATTCATATAACTTCAAATAAATTTAATGATTTCGAATTTTTTTTTCTTAAAGCGTGTTCTATGATTATTGTCATCTCCTAGACTATAATCTGTTTAACTCAAAAGAATAATGCAACCTAGTATTATAGTATCACTTAAACAAGAAAACTGTTATAAATTTTAATTGTTACAAATTTGTAGAAGGCAATATTTTTATTATTTTTTAATAATAAAAATTTAATCGAAAATACTCAATATATTGCCTTAATTTAGTTATATATTATATATATATATCAGGATAATATTGTAAACTATATTAGGCCAATATTGGCCAGTATAATATCCCCATTATTGGGGCAATATAATTTACAATATTGGCGCAATATTATTAACAATATCGGGCCAATGTTGCAGTGTGAACATTTTGCCAATATTGGCCAATATTGACTTTACAGTATTGGTGCAATATTGTATTGCCAATATTGGCCAATATTGATTTTACAATATTGGCGCAATATTGTAGCGCCAATATTGACCAATATTGGCAAAATGTTCGCATTGCAACATTGGTCCGATATAGTTTACAATATTGCGCCAATATTGTAAACAATATCGCCCCTATATTGCGCCAATATTGTTTGCTACTAGAGTATTAATGTTGGATTTTTAAATTTACCCTTTAAATTTAAGAAATATTATAAAAAACAAGCATTGTTTTATAAAACGTCTTGCAACTTGCTCCAGTCTCCCCTAGTAAATTTAAGGGCGCTCGTGGTACCCGTTTTTAACACGTGAAATATAATTAATTTTTGTTATTATAATTAACTGCTAATCCGTTACCAAATCAGGAAGTAAGGGAATCAGGGAATTATTGAAAGTATCATATATAATTACTGACCTGGGTAATTATATATGGTACTTTAAATAAATTCTTTTTTATACACTTGAATTTTTCATGATTTAAATATTTTTGAGGCTAAATATTTTTTGTCTAACTTTTGAAATTTTATTAAACTTAGTTGATAGGTTTCGTACATATTATTCTGTTTTAAGTTCCAGACACAGTCAAGGTTGCTATGAAGCGATAACCAAATTTTGAGGCAAACAGTCTACAATGTAGGGTAATCCGGGGCTAATTTAACGCAGTGCTATTCCAAACAGTTCATTTTTTCTAGTCTATATAATGTATAATTTAAAAATTAAGTATAAATTTCTTCTTAAACTCTTTCTATACAAAGAAAGCTTGTGTAATAACAACATATAATTTTTTTTTTCAAAAAGATCGCTTTTAAACTTTTAAAAAATAACCCATTTAATTGTTATATATAACAGATCTATATATTTACAACAGACTCTTCTGTAAATAAAAGAGCAAAAAAATTTGTAATTATCTTTTTTATCTTTTACCACTTTTATTTACCAAAAATTCAAATGGAATAGTTCAAAATACAAAAAAATGTATTTTTTTGTACTTTGAACTATTCCATCGGAATTTGACATGGGCTGAATTTGTGAGGCTAATCCGAACATTGTTAGAGTGGATTATGAGTTGAATAAGAGTTGATATGTCTCCCTACTTTTTAGCATTTTTTAAAGTTAAAAGTAAAGTTATTATATAATTCTCATTAGCGTTATAACATTATGATTTTGGTGTCTGCCCAAATAACTTATTGGTTTTGTTTGTTTTGTTGAGAAGATAAGTCAAGCAAGGAATTCAAGCAGGTGCTTCAATACGTGCAGCTGCATCAATGTATAACATTCCTGTTGCTACTCTTTGATCAAGGATCTGGAATTTCCAGACTTAGTAAAGGGTATCCAACTGCTTTATTTTTTAGTGTAGAGGGATACATTGTATCCTCATTAGAATAAGCATCCGATTTTGGTTGGCCGCTAAATCGAAAAGATATGAAAGCAATGGTCACGCACTTATATATTTTTAAATATTTTTTATATTGGCTTTTATTTCTTACAAATTTAGTTAACATGGGAAAAATGTAGTACTATTTACGGATGGTCATGGTAGCGACCTTACATATATTTTTGCATATATAGTCAATTTATTTTTATAGTATATATAGTCAATATATTTATATAGTCAAAATATTTTTGCATATATAGTCATATTTTGTATATATAGTCAAACAATGAAAGCAGCTTTATCTTAAAACCAGAGAAGTCTTGAGACTAAAGTCTTATTCTTGAGACATCTCAAAATTTAAATTCAACTGTCTTAGGTTAGGTCTTAGCGAAGCTTGGAGTTTTTGTCTTGAAAGCCTGGAGTATTGGTCTTGGTCAAGGTCGGACTGGCGAGAGAGATTGGGGGTATTTCCCCCCTATAAATATAATAACTATTGTCTTCGTCTCCAAACTTTACTGCTTTGTAGTTTCTTGATCTTTAAAAATATATATGAACACTATAGATGGATTATTAAATAAAAATAAATTATTTATAACCTTAACTTTCTGCTTTTACGAAGGTTAGTACCTAAAAAGATGTGTACTTTATTTGCCAAAGCATACCAGGCTTAGTGAGATTGTCAAATGCAAGTTGTGAAGTCAAGTTGTCTGTTTCAGTTTAAGTGCATAAATTACTTAAATAAAATATATACTTTTTTTTAATTTGTTTTTTTTTAACACATGTATAATATAATATAAAAATGCGTGTAAAAGATAAAATAATAGATAAGCTAAAGACCTAATGGTACACAATGGAACCTAACTCTTAATATTGGACTTGTAAAAACTTTAAAAGTCACGGTTTCGGGTTGAGTTTTTGATATCTTAGTTTGATTTTGGTTATAAAATCATGTTCTTGATCAAAAATGCAGTATTGGTGTAGTGGTAGAGGATTTGTCTCATAAGCGATAAGTTCCAAGTTCGATCCCCACCACGTACCGGGTAGTAAAACGCTCAACTTGTTTCTCAATGCAGCGGACTTGTTTGTCAAAGTTCGTGATGTCATAGAGATAAAAAAATAAGCCGTTAAAGGAAGCAGTTTAATGGTGTCGAATTAGCAATAAACATGGTTGTTCCGTGATTAATTCAGAAAAATTTCGACTAGTTAAAGATCTAAGTACAAACGACTTGATATCATTGAAATTGGAAAGGAGAAGAAAGATTGTTCAGTTTTTACCAAAGATAAGGAAGATTCTTTGTTTTTATATAAAAAATAAGAATAATAAATAACTAAGAAAAAGTAATACAAATGATTGAGAAATAAAACTACTCTCTTATAAAGTTAAACGAAATAAAATCTTTACTTTTATGATAATTGCATTAGGAAAACTAAACTTGTAGTGTTTAGTTTTTAAATATTAAGCATGTAGAAACCTCTGTGGACGTAAGATCACTAAGCTATCAGCAAATGCTCATCAAACACTCCCAAAAAAAGCTAAGCAAGTATTTTTGGAAGCGTTGGGATTCAAATATTAAAAGTACATCACAAAAAAAGAGGCAGGAAGCTGTATCTATTAATTATGCCCTTAACTGCACAAAAGAAATGGCGTATAACCGGCTGAAAAACTTATAAAAAGTAATATTTTTGTAGCTGAAAACTTATAAAGAGTAATATTTTCATTGATGCAAATCAAGTAATAACAGATGTATGGCGTGGAAATACAGATAATCCTCCCCCACCTCCAGTTTGTAAACTATGGAGTTGATGGTACTTCTAATAGTTTAGTTTATGCTGGGAAAGGGATAGTTATTAAAATGTAAAAAGAAAAATTGCGATTGCCTTACAATATATCCTTTTACTTCCTTTGGAGGAGATAAAGCAATGTGTCATATATTAAAAGAAAAAGGAATTAGTCCCCCCATAACTCCAAAGAAGCAGTAAAACAAATTACATATCTCCTAATCTCCACAAATAATAGAGGCAGCGAAGATCACAATACTTTTTTAAGTGCATATCAAATGTTTAACCACTATTTAGAAAAAAACAATATAAAACGGCCTGTTGTTGTCATATATAGTAGTCATTTTTCAAGATTTGTCTGTCATGTATTGACATTTCTAAAAAGTAAAAATGTTTGACTTTTCATCACTCTACCTGATACAACTTGCGTTACCCAAGTCCTTCATCAAACAAGTCAGATGTTGCATTCTCGTAATGTTTTCTTTACAACCTTTTCTTTTGTATCGTTTATGAAGATCAACAGGAAAGGTTTCATGAATAAACTTGCAGAGTTATGGCCAGAGTATATATATATATATATATATATATATATATATATATATATATATATATATATATATATATATATATATATATATATATATATATATATATATATATATATATATATATATATATATATATATATATATATATATATATATATATATATATATATATATATATTATTTTCAATTTTGAAAAATTGAAAATAATATTTAAGAAACAAACTAAGATTTATATAAACTATAATCTAAAATCAAATTTTGTATAGGATTAGTTTTCCTACTTCTAAATTCAATATGATGGGAGTCTACTAGTTTTGTTAATATTGGCATTGTAAATAACTTTAAATAAAATTGGCATTTTAAATAATATTAAATAAAATTGGCATTTAAAAAAATTTTCAGTTTAAATTTCATTTTAACCGTGCTAATGTCATTAGCACGGTTTACCTTACAAAGTTTAGTCATTAGTAATGAATGAATATTGTAAGGTAAACATTTTGTACGTTAGTTAGTTTATATAAATGCAATATTTAGTTCAAAATAATACCAAGTTAAATAAATCATTATGAATCTTTTTTCTTTTTTTACATAGCTGATGCATTTGGATTTATTTAGATTAGATAGATAAAGAGTAAAATGGCGAATAACAGCAAACTCTTGTCAAGAAGATAAAACACATCAATTTATGACAGTGAAAGCTTTAAAGAAAATGACTGATAACTTACCATATCTTACTTCACCAAGTGAATTACCAACTTTTGACTTTTCATTAGATGATTCTGTTGATTCTGTTACTAATTCTGTTGCTGATCGAAATAAAAATCTAATCTCTAAAATAACAGATGTTGAACAGAATCTGACAGAATCTATTG